CTTATACTGTATGCAATAGGTCTACTATATTTGGTGTATGGAATGATTGTAAGGTGTACATGTCTAGCTTGCAGGTGTCATCTGACCTTGACCTCATTTTCATGGTTCAGTGGTCAAAGTTAAGTTTTTGAGTTTTGGTCTTTTTTTCTAATACTATATGCAATAGTTCAACTATATTTGGTGTATGGAAATATTTTATGATCTATTTGTCAGTCACACAGGTTTTATTTTACCTTGACCTCATTTTCAAGGTTCATTGCTCAGTTTTAAGTTTTTGTGTTCTGGTCTGTTTTTCTTAAACTATAAGCAATAGGTCAACTATATTTATTGTATGGAAGAATTGTTAGCTGTACATGCCTGAATAGCATGGTTCATCTGACCTTGACATCATTTTCTTGGTTCATTGGTCAATGTTTAGTTTACTTGGTTAATGTTAAGTTTATGTGACAGTTGTAATAAAGCTTTATATTTAGGACTATCAACATAATATCAATGATTAGTAAAGAAGGCGAGACATTTCAGCGTGTGCACTCTTGTTTCATTCATAAATTACTTTATACTTGGAAATATAATTTTGCTTGGAGTTATAGTTTCTATAAAAAGTTTTTTTTGTACCCGAGGTCGTTGAATATTGATCATTATATGAATAAGGAGATGTGTTATGATTGCCAATAAAACAACTGTCATCCATACATTGTACTTACCAGTAACAAACCACATTTGCAAAGTTGAATAAAATACAGTTGATAACATTTACTTATTACTAAAAAGAAAATGCCAAACTATTCTAAACAGTATTTGACTATATGAACAAAGATAAAAAAAGGTACAAACTGGACATAATGCACTAGTTCATAAACAAGTGAGAACAATCGCCTTCATATAGTGCTCAGAATATGACATTCATAAAACTTGTTCAATATCATTAGAGAACTCTAAATCTTAAATACTGCAATCCACCTCTGATAAGTACGATGTACTATGCAAGATAAAGATATAACTGGACTAAAAATACACACAACCTGTAATTAACTGCCTTTACAGCGCTTTCGCGCTTTGATTATTAGTTGTTATTGGCTTTGGGCTAGCTGTCAGTAACTGCGAGTACTCTTAGATCTGTACTATGTGTCTTTTTTGTTGTAAGGGATGAGGGATGGATAAATAACCTGCCACGTCCGTTCTGTGTTTTGGTTTGATGTTTTTCTGCTTTGTATCGATCTGATGAGTTACGCCTTTTTCAACTGATCTTTATAGTTTGTTCTTATATTGTGCTGTTACATCACTGTCCCACGTTAGGAGAGGGTTAGGCACTCACAAACATGTTTTCCCACCACATTCTTTATGTGTATGTCACAAGTTAGGAGCCTGTAGTTCAGTGGTTGTCGTTGGTTCATGTCTGTCTTTTTTGTTTTTCGTAAATTGTTTTGTTATTAATTAGACCGTTAGATTTTCTCAATTGAATTGTTTCATATTTTTCATGTCGGGCCCTTTTATAACCGACTATATGGTATGGGATTTTCTCATTGTTGAAGGCCGTATAATTGCTTACATCCACTTCTTTTGAACTTCTGGTGGATAGTTGTCTTATTGGCAATCATATCACTTCTCCATATTTTTATATTAAAATCTGTTACATATATTAAGATATGTCTCTTTTCTCTTGCAATAGTATAAAAAAAACATTTGACTTTTCTACCCTTTACACAAGTATTCCCCATTCCAAACTTAAAGACAGACCAAAAAAACATTAGTCCAAATTCGTTTCATATTAAAGAAATCCAACGTTAATACACATAATCTTGTTTTAGGGAGGGATAACTTATACTTTGAAAAAATACTTAGATTAAAAAGAAAATTCTCTGAAACTGACATTATCAAGATGTTAGATTTCTTGACTGCCAACATATTTATTACCTTTAAAGGAAGCATATTGCAATAACAACTATAATTTCTATGGGAACCAACTGTGCTCCTCTTGTCGCCGACTTGTTCGTTTATTCATACGAGGAATATTTCATACATGAGCTTCTTCGAAAGAACGAAAATAAGCTAGTATTTTCTTTCACGTTCCGCTATTTAGAAAATGCCCTTTTACTAAATAATTAGTTTGGTGACTATGTTGATCACATCTATCCCATCGAACTTGAAATAAAGGATACAACAGATACTATTAAATATGCCCAATAGCTTTATTTACACATAGAAATTGACAATGAGGTTCGGCTGAAAACAAAAGTTTACGAACTTCAATTTTGGCCTTTTCTTTTTTTATTTGAGCGTCTTTGATGAGTCTTTTGTAGACGAAACGCGCGTCTGGCGTACGAAATTTTAATCCTGGTATCTATGATGAGTTTATTCTCTATATGAACATTCCAGCTTATGAAATATATATATCTTTCTCAGTTGAACGAGTTTGAGTTTCCTACCATGACTTCATTGGTAGATGGTTGCTTCTTATAAGGATATAAGGAAGTTATTAAAACAAGGTTTCAAAGTGGTAAAACCAAAGTCATCACATCGAAATGTTTACAGATGCCATTACGACTCAGTTGACCGTTCTGGAATATCTGTTTCACAGATGACGACGGATATGTTCCAATTGTCGACTAGAATAGTTTTTTCTTTTTTCGAAGGTGACAATACCGAAGGAGACTTCTCATGAAATTTGTACTTTCATGAGCAACACGACGGTTGCCACATATAGAGCAGGAATTGCTTAGCCTTCCGGAGCAATTGAGATCACCCCCGGTTGTTTGGTTGGGTTCGTGTTGCTGTGTCTTTAGTTTCCTATATGAATAAGGACTGTGGTATAATTGCAGATGAGAAAACTTTCCACCACAGAATAAATCGCGTAGATGTTAGCGACTATAGTTCACCGTACGACTTTCAACATTGAGCAAAACTTTCCACCACAGAATAAATCGCGTAGATGTTAGCGACTATAGTTCACCGTACGACTTTCAACATTGAGCAAAACAGATACAACATATCAAGCTATGAAAGCTCCGACATAACAAAATATAAAGCAATTCAAACGAGAAAACAGCCTGATTTATGTACAAAACAACCAACAAACGAAAAAAAAATGATATACAACAACAAACGAAACTAATGAACTACAGGCCCCTGACTTGGGACAGGCACATACAGAGTGTTACCGGGTAAACACAATTTTCCAGGCACCCAACCCTTTTCAAACCTGGGACAGTCAGTGGTGTAACAGCACAATATAAGAACAAACTATAAACATCAGTTCAAAAGTGACTTATCTGAAAGCTACAAAAAAGACAAGTTACACTAAAGACACAAAGTAATGATCTGAGGTATTTCGCATTTCGGTACTGGAAACTAAGTATTAGCCATTAACAACTTTTACAAGATCATGTACCTAAGGCGAAATATTAGTCGTGACACATCCAATGGATTAAGTGCAAATACTTCATAAACAGTCTAGAATTTCACAGCGGTATAACATGTTACTTTAATTATTCTTCCCTTAGTTTATTTATTTTGTATTTGCATTGTATCATAGATCAAATTTATTTGTTCAGGAATCTGATGTTCAGTAGTTGTCGTTTGTTGATGTGGTTCATAAGTGTTTCTCGTTTCTCGTTTTTTATATAGATAAGACCGTTGGTTTTCCCGTTTGAATGGTTTTACACTAGTAATTTTTGGGGCCCTTTATAGCTTGCTGTTCGGTGTGAGCCAAGGCTCCGTGTTGAAGACCGTACTTTGTCCTTTAATGGTTAACTTTCATAAATTTTGACTTGGATGGAGAGTTGTCTCATTGGCATGCACTCACACCACATCTTCTTATATTTAGAAAACCATGACCTTGCGCAATGCCAAAATTATAAGTATCCACAGGATGTAGAACCGTAAGTCTTTCTATTCTGTGATTTGTAAACTGTTGTTTGTCTTTTCGTCGTTTTGCGTCTTTTTTTCATGTCGTTGTCATTTTGACGGTCTCATGATTTTAAATATCCATTTGGTATCCTCCGCCTCACTTGATTATTTAACCAGTATCTATACAACAAGTACAAAATGAAAACACAACGTTTTTAATTTCATTCGTCCGAAGCTTTTCTGGAAAGCTGTAGATCGCCTATAGAAAAGTTGCCACATAAAGGAGAAGGTAGGATCAAGCCACGTTTTTGACCCGTTATATTCAAAAATACTAGTTATTAAAAATCTTCCTAATTACATCTTTCATTTGTTAATATGACATTAGACTGTCGAATATCAGTATTTAAATGTTTGAATTTTGTCTTACATATTGGCATTAGGGCTTCAAACGTCTTATACTTAGTGCAAAACATAAAAAAATATACCAAATTAGTTTCATTTTAAGGTCTTGTCGACACTTAGAAGTTATAGCCCTGACCCCCTTAACGCGAAACAAAGGAGATTTTTTATGATATGATTTATCCGCACTCGAAGTAGTGTTTTAAAGGTATTTCAATCAATAGTTTTCTATCATCGAGTATACATTTGTATTTATTTGCTAAAGCTAGCTATTCTGCATTGATTTCATCTTTTCTTTGTATTTTATTAATTTTCTGTCATTTAAAAAAAAATGTTTTTTTTTAATCACTCGAGTAAAGAAAAAAACTAAATGGTAGCAATGAAATATCTATTCATAAAACTTAAAGTATTTTTGAAGAAAAAAAAATGGACAATATAATAGAACATGTGGAAAATAGTCGTTAATAAATTTATACTTTGACAGATGAATGATGTTTATTTTAATTTAATGACTTTATAATTTGCAACTACTGGACTAATGCCTGAAATCTTTTATGTTTTATAATTAAACTTCTTGCTGTTCAATAACTCAAGGTTTTTTTCAAACCTCATTTACGTGATCAATGTTTGTATGATTTATTTTGATTCTTAAATCGGCAACATATAACATTTCGTGGGAACTTGGGAGATGACAAACTAAATATGGTATATATTCAATTTTCCTAGCATTATAAATAGCTAATCCATTATAAACTGTTGCACGACATTTCATTTATGTTGTTGTAATGGCGAACAATACATTTGTGCCTATCAGTTTGTTATTTTTCGTGAGATTTTCTTCTCTGTCGGGAAACATAGAAACAATCGAAATGTCAGAAAATTTAAACTTGAGAGACCAGTTTTCCGAATATAACAACTTAGGAAATATGGAGTCAAATAGTTTAGTTCGATGTACCAACATATGCCTGCTGACTGCCAACTGCAGGTCAATGTTTTACCAGAAAGAATTACATCAGTGTATATTACACAGTCTAGATATCGAAGAGTCGTCGGCAAATCTCGTCTCTTCAACAGGTTGGAAATACTACAAAGTGTTTGAAGGTAAAAAAAAAGGAAATTTTGCAACTGTTGCTTACAAATGTTTACGTTTCATTAATTTTAGTTATACTAAGAAATGATAGAACAGTTAAGATTTTCAATTTCAACTCAGATTGTGGAATCGTAGAAAACTTGACCTTTTGATAAAAAGATTTGGCAAGGAATGATTGAGTCGACGTGAACATAAGAAATCAGGGAAATTGAATTTTAATGAATAATCTTACTCAGGAGCGTCTAATATCACAGCTGGTTGCTAAAGACTGTTTATTGCTTATACATTTTCATTGGTATCTATTGCTTACAAGTCTTTGTATTCTTTTCCCCGTGTTCTGTCAATCGGTGTATTGTAGTTGTACATCCATGGATTAAGGACGTTTGGATAGAAATAAAATTAATCGGTTCAACTGATAATGTAAAAACAAAACAATTTGTATTTATGACTAAAAGACAACAACAGCAGAAGCTGCAACAACAGTAAACGACACTTTTATCAAAACCTAAGCAAATGATATATATATATTCCTGTCACGTAATGTTGTCATTTTAGCGGTATTTTTAACATTGCCATATAAGCAGGAGGTTTGTCTAGCCATATAACCAGGTTCAATCCACCATTTTGTCCTAAAATGTCCTGTACCAAATCAGGAATATGGCAGTTGTTATCAAAGAGTCCGTTTCTATTATGTTGCCGTTTGTTTTTGGTGCAGTTCAGTGTTTCTGTTGTTCCGTTGTTTTCCATTTATCGTTGATGTGTTTCCCTCGGTTTTAGTTTGTTACCCGGATTTGTTTTCGCTTAATCGATGTATGACTATTGAACAGCGGTATACTACTGTTGCCTCTATATATCAAGACTTAGTGATCAACAGGCTATAAAACAGTAGATACTTTATATAAAAGAGAACCTATGATGAACCGTCTAATGAAAACCTTTCTTTAAGTACAGTTTTATCGTAAATATTACATGTTTAAACTGAAACAAAATTAATATATTTGATAAATCTATATAACGATTGGTATTCACTACTTTATTGGTATGAAACGACTTTCTATAGCAGAGGAACGGTCAAAATTGAATATTTTGCATTTTTGGCTACTAGTATTTTAATTGATAATTTATCATTTCTTATGCCAGACGTTTCACAATAATTATATATTTACAGAAAGTCCCATCACTAGTCCCAGTCCTAGTCCTGAAGATAAATGCACTGCAACATCTGGCTTCATTTACAATGCAGGTGAAAATATGTGTTACTTCATTGGATCACCACTGGCTGTAGATTTTGACGTCATAGACACGGTGTGTTCAAATATGGACAGTGAGCTCATCAGAATAGATTCACAAGAAAAGCAAGCGTTCGTACAACAATTACTTGGTAAGCTTTACTTGTCATGTTAAATTTCAGCAACATTTTCCAAACTATACACGAACAGATCATAAGTCGTAAATGTGGTCTTTTATTTTTTTTTTACAAAACTTTGAGTCAGCACGCCTCTATTACGTACGAATTAGTTTCGCATATTTATATATATTAAAAATACTGTCATCCAATACCAAAAAGTAAAATAACAAAAAAACCGAACTCCATGGAATATTCAAAACGGAAAGTCCCTAATCAAATGGTATAATCAAAAGCTCAAACATATCAAAGGAATGGAAAACAACTGTCATATTCCTGATTTGGTACAGGCATTTCCTTGTGTAGAAAATTGTGGATTTAACCTGGTTTTATCGCTAGCTAAACCTCTCACTTGTATGACAGTCATATAGAATTCAATCATATTGGCAATAATGTGTTAGCACAACAAACAGAAATAATAGGTAATTATGTCAAAAATCAAATTTACCAAAGAATAAAATTGAGAATGGAAATGGGGAATGTGTCAAAGAGACAACAACCCGACCATAGAACAGACAACAGCAGAAGGTCACCAACAGGTCTTCAATGCAGCGAGAAATTCCCGCACCCGGAGACATGCATTGTTGGGTTTATTATATAGCTTGGTGAATATTTCTATAAGATAATGTTATTTTTCCTCCAAAGTTCTAACCATTTACGAAATTACAAACCAAAAAAGAGACAAGAAGTATTCATTTAAAGATATAATACGATTTGTATATGAAAAGAATAAGATGTTGGGTTAATATCCCTGAGACAGCAACCCTTTGACACATGTAGCAATACGAGATCGAGAGGGCAACATTACAATCTTCAACAAATGAAACGTATTTTTACAATGTGTCAAGCTCTAATCGTCCCAGCTAAGTCGCAAATAAGTTAAAGGGAATGTTGTCCTGACAACTGATTTTGCAAAACTTACATTATTAATATCTGATTGACAAATCGTCTTGTCCAAAACCTGACTATAATGATACACAAATACTTTTGTAAAGAATTACAATTTATAAATAAACTCATCATAGATACCAGGATTGAAATTTTGTATTTGCGCCAGACGAGCGTTTGGTCTACAAAAGACTCACCAGTGACGCTTGAATCAACAAAAGTTAAAAAAAAAAGTCAAATAAAGTACGAAGTTGAAGAGCATTGAAGACAAAAATTTTCTAAAAGTTTTGCCAAATATAGCAAAAGTAAATTTATTCCTGAGGTAGAAAAGCCTTAGTATTTCAAAAATGTAAAGTTTTGTAAACAGTTAATTTATAATTATGACCATATCAATGATAAATCATGTCAACACAGGAGTGCATACTAGGGGCTATCTTCCCCCAGTAAGTTTGAAAAGAGTTTTCGTGTACAACTAGGCAGACCCAGCAATATAACGTTGTGTGTAAAGTAACCAATACAATGAAGGAAGATTTAGTTCTTTGTAAGCGTTGTTAGCGTTGTTAATCTATATGTTGTGTTTCCTAGTAAATTGTCAATACCTGATTCCTTTATCCAACAGTTATGTTATGTGATTTACATACACAAACTATGTTGTTTGTGAAGTCATCGGCGAGAATAACAACATATTTGTCATGGTTGTCAAACATTCTAAGTGTCTCTAAAAATTAAAACTATAACTCTGGTTAAAAAGCAATTGACGATGAATTTTAATTGTCAAGCTCTGTTGACACCTGAAGTAACTACTTTGTTATTTAATAACAAATGTGTAAAAAATAACGAAAATGATAATGATAACAAAAATGATAAAGATAACAAAATGATAATAATAACTATTAGAAAAACTATAATAAACTTCAACTTACAATGTATCACAAAGAAATTATTGGTGATTATTAATTGATTATGATGGTATAGTTGTTATTGATTTTATAATGTTGTTTTAGTATGAAATTAAGTGGTAAGTGGTGTAACATGAACACTTTAAAACATAGTTGACATTTTACTCAGAGTATCTGAGAAACTGACATAATCACGAAAAACTTAACTGGGATAACTTATCACACACACTCTGTGTTAAACGTTTTCATAAATATATTCCTAGCTTTTGGGTAACACAGATTATCATAATTCTGTTTCACAGGAGTGCTTATAAACATTGATGATTTTTCACCATTTCAAAAGCAATAAGAGAAAGGCGAAAGATACTTAAGGAACAGTCAAACTCATAAGTCGAAAACAAACTGACAACGTCAAGGCAAAAAACAAAAAACGACCAAAAGTCAAAAACAGTTTACAAAACACAACATAGAAAAATAAAGACTGAGCAACACAAACACCACCAAACAGGGGGGGGGGGGGGGTGGGTGTTCTCAGGTGTTCCGGTAAGGTAAACAGATCATTCTCCATATGTGGCACCCGTCGAGTTGCTTAGGTAGCACTCCACAGTTAGGTGTGTAGTTTCGCATTTTGGCCCCTGTGGATTTTTCAAATATGAGAGCTAGTGTGCAATAAAATTCATTTTTGGATAACTGAAGATTAAAATAGCCTTCATAGTGGGTTTATATGAACATCAAGATTATGTTATGTATGTAATATGGGCTGTTTTCTGTATGACAGTCCGTATTTGCATATCCATACCAAACATTGGTCCGGCAATTATTGTAATGTTTTTTTCCAACTTTTTGTCGCACGAACTTTGTGATTAAATTTTACGAAAAAATGAGGCGAAAGACACCGATTTTTTATTTGATCATTAGGAAGATTAATGTCAACAGTTTCTGAAAAGGTATCACTCAAAGGCATTGAAATTCTAGTTTGATCCAAATTTTGGGGGGATATGTGACATTTTCACCCCCCCTTTTGCAATATTTTATGGTAAATAAATGCAGAATGTTGCCATGGATACACATAAAAGGAATTATATTTCACCCTTTTAACTTTTGAAAATCAAATCTTTGGAAGATACTGATTACATACATATGCACATGTATAACATAAACAATTAGGTTAATGTATTAGAAAGCCAGAAATAGAAGATGATAAAACATTTTGTGGTTCAATTTTAATTTTATTTCTAACTGTGGAGTGCTACCATAATTATGGCACATCAGAAAGCACAGAAATGCACTTTTTAAGACAAATTTTACCATAAATCTTTAGTCATTTAGGTTCTTATTTTAGTTCTGAAGGGGAAAAATCTACTAGGATTGCAATACATGTTAATTTTATTGTTTACTGTCCGTAGCAACCAAATATACACATTTTGACACTAAGACATGTCGCGGTCTAAAATTTGAACTCCATTAGCTTCGCCCTTGTAACCAAAGATTGCACTTTATTTGATAGCCTCAGAATGTATCGCTTTATATTTTTGAATGCGAATAAGTTAAATAAACATTTTTAGCAGGATTTTATATTATAATTTGGCATAAATTAAATTTACTGATGCCAGAACTGTTAGAAATTTATACCCTGCTTGAGAGTTTCTAAACCAAGGTTTGGTATGCTATTTACAGCAAAATTGACCTATAAGTGCTTTTCAAGTACCTAAAAAATGTACAATTTTTCCTCTTCTAAGGTAATTTTATGATTTTAAACAGAAAAAAGGGAAAAGTTTTAGAAATTTACTCCAAAAATGAGACAGACTTGGGGGTTTTTCACTATGATCAAGCATTTTTTTTTAAATCACTTTTTGTCGCGTTTCAACATCAACTGCTAACCTTCATAAAATCTTTATTACTGAACCAATTTTAAAAACTAAGGTATCATTTTAATCGTACAACTAATACAACACAGAAAATATAGTAAAAATTGAGGCAGGGGGAAAAAAATTCATTTTAAGGCACATCAGAAAGCACAGAAATGCACTTTTTAAGACAAATTTTACCATAAATCTTTAGTCATTTAGGTTCTTATTTTAGTTCTGAAGGGGAAAAATCTGCTAGGATTACAATACATGTTAATTTTATTGTTTACTGTCCTTAGCAACCAAATATACACATTTTGACACTAAGACATGTTGCGGTCTTAAATTTGTACTCCATTAGCTTCGCCTTTGTAACCAAAGATTGCACTTAATTTGATAGCCTCAGAACGTATCCCTTTATATTTTTGAATGCGAATAAGTTAAATAAACATTTTTAGCAGGATTTTATATTATAATTTGGCATAAATTAAATTTACTGATGCCAGAACTGTTAGAAATTTATACCCTGCTTGAGAGTTTCTAAACTAAGGTTTGGTATGCTATTTACAGCAAAATTGACCTATAAGTGCTTTCAAGTACCTAAAAAATGTACAATTTTTCCTCTTCTAAGGTAATTTTATGATTTTAAACAGAAAAAAGGGAAAAGTTTTAGAAATTTACTCCAAAAATGAGACAGACTTGGGGGTTTTCACTATGATCAAGCATTTTTTTTTAAATCACTTTTTGTCGCGTTTCAACATCAACTGCTAACCTTCATAAAATCTTTATTACTGAACCAATTTTAAAAAACTAAGGTACCATTTTAATCGTAACAGCTAGTAGAACACAGAAAATATAATAAAAAATTGAGGCAGGGGAAAAAAAAATTCATTTTAAGGTAGCACTCCACAGTTAGGTGTGTAGTTTCGCATTTTAGCCCCTGTGGATTTTTCAAATATGAGAGGTAGTGTGCAATAAAATTCATTTTTGGATACCTGAAGATTAAAATAGCCTTCATAGTGGGTTTATATGAACATCAAGATTATGTTATGTATGTAATATGGGCTGTTTTCTGTATGACAGTCCGTATTTGCATATCCATACCAAACATTGGTCCGGCAATTATTGTAATGTTTTTTTCCAACTTTTTGTCGCACGAACTTTGTGATTAAATTTTACGAAAAAATGAGGCGAAAGACACCGATTTTTTATTTGATCATTAGGAAGATTAATGTCAACAGTTTCTGAAAAGGTATCACTCAAAGGCATTGAAATTCTAGTTTGATCCAAATTTTGGGGGGATATGTGACATTTTCACCCCCCTTTTTGCAATATTTTATGGTAAATAAATGCAGAATGTTGCCATGGATACACAAAAAAGGAATTATATCTAACCCTTTTAACTTTTGAAAATCAAAGCTTTGGAAGATACTGATTACATACATATGCACATGTATAACATAAACAGTTAGGTTAATGTATTAGAAAGCCAGAAATAGAAGATGATAAAACATTTTGTGGTTCAATTTTAATTTTATTTTCTAACTGTGGAGTGCTACCTTATGTAAGTTAAAACACGGTCATATGTCTTATTCGGTAAGTTACATTCATAATTTTAAAACTAGATTTTCATACCTATCCCAAAACTATCTAGCATATTTAAAACCTGGTGCTAATACGGATTTAATGAGTTGTTTATCTTAACCCAGGGTTACCTCTTTTAAGCTTACTAACATTCTTTTTTGTTCTATAGCTGCAGACCCAGGCGACTGGGTGTGTATCCATGGAAACAGAGACAATGACAGTGGTAGCTACAAATTCGATGATGGCACTGACATGACATACTTTAACTGGAACACACGTCTTGGACAACCAGACGACCCTTCCTGGGAGTATATAGTAATGGTAAAAAAATTCAACTATCTATGGCATGATATGGCAGAGGAAAAGCTAGACCGTCAATGCACATACATATGTGAAAAATGAAATAAAAGAGCACCACAACTAAAATTGAAAGACTTCTTATCAGTGGTTTTTGATAGCTTGTTAAAAAAACTAGTTTGATTTCACCTGGCCATGTATTTGCTGAATTTGCTGAGTCATCAATATAGTCATTATAAAGAAGAAATAATTACTAGTAAATATTCTATGAAAATATGTTATGTATTTAAGGATTGACTAATACACGTTGGTTAAATGGCAGACTTTCAATTTAACAAAAATTTTGCACTCGTTTTTCCATATGTTAGATAGTTTTTGGAAAGGTATGGACATCTAGTTATTAAAGCATTTAAAGAAAATTGCAGTTTAAGCAGTTTACGATTAGAGAACAAAATAAATGTTAAGAATTACTGGAATTAGCAATGTTATGTTTTAATGGCATTTGAAACATATAACTCATCGATGCTTAGAGTTAAACTGTACTCTCAACCCACAGCCTCCTGTTGGACGTTTCGTCCCAGAAGTTTTCACCAGCCCAGTAGTCACTGATATTGCTATTTTTATTTCATGTTACCTATATAAAACAATGAATTATTCGAAACACTAAGGTTTTTCTACCGTCAGACATAAATTACCTTACGTATTTGGCTCAACTTTTCGGAATTTTCGTTTTTTTTTTATGGTTCTCAACTTTAAATTCGATTTTTCCTTCCGATCATTTTTTTTCGAGCGCCACTGGTGAGTCTTCAAGAAGAACCTTATGTAAAATATATCATCATGTGAACATTTTTTCTTGTATTTTATCGTTAATCTGGTTGAAACATTTTTATCATTTAACATTTGTTACTAGTATTAAGATATATAATAAATAGTTTATATGCATCAATTCTACATTCTTCTAAAAGAAAAGTTTATCTCACTCGATTAAATAATATTGTTGACCAGAACTTAATTTTTTACCTTAACTGGGAAAGCTATGTTTTGTCCATCAGACATTAATTAATTTCTGCTGGTTTATAGAGTCCTTCGATACCATATATTTTTCAAAAACCATATAGGCCTCCAATATGTTGGCGATTCAAAGTATCTATTCCACAGACAGTCAATTTACAAAATTGTATAAGCGATGTCACCAAAAAACCCATATTTCTCTGCGAACCAATACTTCTAACAGTATTACAACAGCCATCTAAATATCTTCAACAACGTGGACATTTTAAAGATTAACACACAACAAACAATGGAATGATAAGGAGAAAGATTCTGAATAATGAAAAGTAATGTTCGTTATACAGATGATATTATTAGAAAGTTATATTTATTGCACAAAACGAATATCTTTGTCGTTCGATATATCCTGGAATGAAACTTGCAACACTATCTGAAAAATGTTTCAATGTAAAAAAAAGTGTTTCTGAGAAAACGAAAACTCATTCCGAGGGAAGGAAATATATACCATATTTGTTCAGGGACTGAAATAACCATATTTTATTTACCATGTTCGTTCATATACAACAATAAGTTTGATCGTTAACCATATGACGTATGTATTAATCTTTCAGAACATAAAAAGTGTAGAGCTGTATGTTGTTTTGCTACAGTATTTTTGTCTATTCTATAGTATTATTGACACAATTATGTTTTGTAAATAAACTGTTCAACAATATATAAAAATCTTTCTAAACACTGAGTTTTTACTACCTCCAGTAATAGATTGCCTAAGCCAGATTTGGCATACCCTTGCTGTCTCTAGAGTAGACTGATATTTTTCATTGGTCGTAGTCCCATTTCCTTCCTACTTTATGTTGAAATGACTATCTCCTAATGCAACAGATCACCGGAATGCAACATATTGCAACTTTGCTCATTCTCGGTATTTGGTCTTTTTGCTCAAATATTTAGATTTTTTTTGTGTTCTGTTATGGTTATGTAGTGTTGAAATTGGCTATTGGTTTTCGTTTTTCTTTTGGTTACAATTTTAATTTCTGATGAGAAAAGGGATATGGTTATCGATTTCATAACACAAAACTACAACGCACACAAAAAGCATAGGAACAATAGTCTTTTGCTATTTGTCATCTCAAAGTTACACCGAACTCTTCAACAAAAACTCTCGCATCACCGCAAGTTCAAGACAGTCAATACCAGGGGATTGAGCGAAATTTTTTGATAATGCTACAAAAGATTGTTTAAGGTATGAACATGGTAAGAGAGAGACCAAAAGCTTATAAAACTCGCTGATTCATTAGGTCGGAAGGTGGTTAAAGAGTACACTACGAATCTAATTGCTGACGATTCAGAAGACGAAAAGAGGATAGCGAGAGCGCAGAATAGAGCGAACGCAAGAACAAATCCGACAAACTGAAAAAGTCCAAGATAAACATAAAAGAGAAAAACCAGCCTACCTGGAGAACTAGGAAATGTTTTAATTGTGGTATACAAGGTCACTGGACAGAAGATTGTCCCGACAAGAAAGACAAGGTAAATATATACATGTATTTTTACAAATTATGAAGTAATTCTTTGTGAAGAAATATAAAGGAATTTTATTGATAAATCTGATACTTCGTTAGGTGCAAAGGTAAACAAAAAGTGAAAGAAAATCACACTAAAGAATGTACTCAATTGAAACCAATTGTTACTGATTAGATGGCCACTTTTGTACTAGAAGTTAAAATACCTGTTTCACCAATAGGTAAATTAAGATCAAAATTGATTGAATGGAGAGCTATTACTACTAATACACAATCTGTTGATGTTATTGAAAACAGTTAAAAGTTACCGTTTAAACCTGAACCACAGGTAAAACATTTCAAGAATAAAAGATCTTCTGTAAGCAATGCTTGTTTCGTTGTTGAAAAAATTAACAAACTTTTTGAGAAAAGATGTATTTATTCAAACCAACTGTAGTGAATCCACTAACGGTAACATTAAAAAAATAAACCAAGATTAGTACTTGACTTTAGGCATCTGAATCCACCTTTTTAAATTTAGGTATGAATATGAGACTACTTCTAGTCTTGTTCGGCTATCGAACTATATATATACAGATTGTAGTATGTTATTGATATGCCCTAAGAATGGTTTAGTAGATTAGATACAATAAGTTATCTAAAGAATTAATACCCCATGACTGTTTCAATATAAGAGCATTCACCTCAAGTACGTGTAAAGTTTTTGTCTTTCCTCAACTCATGGAAATTGATTGACACAATGTTGAGAAAAACCGTGCTAATCGTTGGAATATTTAAGCACCATCGTCACATAAACTGCTCTATGCAATGTTTAGAATTAGATCAATTATACAGAATTTTAATGTGTCATAACAAAGTAATGGTTTATGACTTGTCAATAAAGATCCGCTTATAGTTAAACACTATTCTATACAGAATATGGTTCAATTTGCATTTGTTAATTTACTTATGGTTTTTTTTTCTATATATTTTTGCACTATGATTAATCAAGTTTTCAATCGTTTGAAATGTGGGCTGATTGTTGTAGAAGAGATACGAAATTATTTTTGTAAAATTTTGACTTATGAAAGATTTTTATTCTAATTTCAATGATTATTCAGTTTCCATTAAAACTGTTTTGTTTTTCATCCTCTGTTCAAAAATTCTTTGAAACTGTTAAAAGTTGTTTCATCATTAAACATCAAGTCCTGTTTGATTTCTATTGTTTTTACCATTTGAATTGTAATACAAACTGTCATTTTCTCATTCTTCAACAAGTAATCGAGACACAAAAGATCTGAATTTATTTAGATTGTCTTTACCTGAAACGAACTAATTTTCCTAAAAATTACCACCGCTGTACATTTACTTGATTATAAATAATTATAAAAAGCCTAACGTAGTAAGACTTGTATATCCTGTGTTCTTAAACAAAAAGGACATGAGTATTTTGAAAAAGTTTGGAGTTTATATGGTATTACACAGTTACATATTGTATCTAAGACACCGCTGTCTGTCAGAAAACATCAAAACCATTGATATGACTGTAAATTACAATTTGATTGACCAGTTGTCCCTATACTTGAAACTTGTGCAGTTTAATGACAAACAATCTTTGATTCGATGCACAAACAGATGTTTGTTGCGTACAAATTGTAGATCATTGTTTTACCACTACCAGACAAAACAATGCATACTTCATAGTCTTAATATTCTTGAGTTGTCAATTCAAGGTGTAGAGGTCAATCTTGTGACGTCAGCTGGTTGGAAATATTATGAAAGAGCAGAAGGTATGTACTATTTTTTTACTGTTTTATCTTTTATTCATGGTATTATCTATTTCACTTTTACGTGTGTGTTTTTTTCATTTTGGTATATTCTCTTCATTTTTCTTCAATTTAAAAGCCGCTCAGGATCGCAAGAAAAACATTTTATTCAAAATAAAGCGATGCGTATTTGATGAATATCGAGATTAAGTAAAAGATGTCGAAACACTGAAAGTTGTTCACAATGGACAAACTTATTTTGGATAATTCTAAAGGAATGTATTCATTATCTTTGGTATTGTACATATTTACATATGCACATTTCTTTTTATGATGGATATTTCATGAACAACCATACATAGTTAAACCTTTTAACAGTAAATGAAAGACTGTAATACATTATTTAAAAATATGAATGAGCATCATGTTATGTTATACAATGTGCCAATTATGTCTTATAAATCTAAATTGGTTTCCTTGACACTAATACAGACTCTGAATTATGATTTTAGATGATATTAGTCTACTGGTACAATGCGTTTCCAGTCCTGGATTTCTATACAATACTAATGCTGATATGTGTTATTTCATTGGTTCGCCTGTGAATGTGGATTTTGGCGACATTAAACAACTGTGTTTAGATATGGATAGTGATCTCATTCGAATAGATTCAGCAACCAAGCAAATGTTTGTTCAGCAGATACTGGGTAAGTAAAAAATACCTGAAAGAATTGTTCAGTTTTTTTTTTTTGTCTTCTTCGATTCCAAGATTCTGGTAAATTTTCCAAGTAGTTGAATGCTGTTTGTGTTTTCGTTTGTTTTTCGTTTTGCTTTTGTTTAGTCTTCCCTTTTTGGCCTGGGTAGTTTTTTTCTGTCATGTTAAATAATGTTTTTATATGGTTGTACCAAACTATTTCTAGCTTCAAAAACCTTTTTAATGAAATGCATATACTTACCCTATTACGCAAACAGTCTCGCTAATTTTTGAGTTCATGCAGTTCCCTCAATTTTGTTTTGTCACCTTGTTTTGTCTTTTTAATCGATTTATGAGATTTGAACAAAGGTAGACTCTTGTTACCTATATTTGAGGCCCCTCATGGGGGTGTCTAAGTAATCGCATAATCAAAAACCCCATGAGGAGGCTCATATTTACATCTTTATATTTAATCTATCTAAGGTTTTGTGAATAAAAAATGAAAAGTTCATTGCAGTTTTCATCAAAAACTATAAAGTTAAAATTGAAATAAGCATATTTGCTGTTATGGTAGAGAACGCCGCACCTTGATTTCAATTTTAGTTCTCCTTCTCCTTCTAATGAATTACCAAAAAAAAAAAGGTCACCGGATTACTGAATTGCCCTGAAGTTATTTACCATGAAGAATTTACAGTCCTTTGATTTCACATATTGTAGAAAATATTGTCACGAATGTATTCTTATATGTAATTAATATTCCCCGATTGAGCCTGTGATCTACGTTTTTTGCCTCCAGTATTCTTGTATTTCATCTGACATCAAATAACAAAATTGATGATTAAATGAACTGCAAATTAATACATGATCTGAACAGTCATTCTATTTGGTTGAATCAATTTCTGTTGTCCAAGTTAGTCCTATCATCATATAATAGTGTATATACATAGGAATATGTGCAAATTACAGTAAAAAGAGTCAGTTTATAGAATATCGAAACTGTAAGTATTAGTTCAGTGGAATAGACTACGTCGTAAAGGATATAAACATTGTATATAATAATAACTTGGATGGTAAAAGTTGAAACAATCTCTTTTCCATTGACATTAAACAGTTAAAGTGCTATTGGCTTGTATTAATTCAATTTTATTCATTTATTTTCTAGTTAATGATGTATCTGATAGGGTCTGCATTCAGGGAAATAATGACAATACCATTAAGACCTACAGATTCGATAACGAAACGAACATGACGTATTTCAACTGGAACACAGCTTCATCACAGCCGGACAATACTTGGTATAAACATTATTTAATGATGCTCAAGAACTACAATTATCTATGGCATAATATTCAACAGCAACGATTAGATGTTCAGTGCGCTTATATTTGTGAAAAGTGAATAAAACTAAAACAGGAGGAGGAAGGTATTGCTAAATTTGAAAGATACAGATGAGTGACAATTTTCAAGTCTCATGTAAAACATGTCCTTTTACTTGTATAATTTTGTAATTTATGTAAATGCATTTGATTAATTAGTCATTTAATATTCCATCGGCACATGCTATTTCCACTGTAAGGATTCTACTGATTCGTTATACTATCTAATTTTATTGCTATTTGGTTGTTACTCACAAGGGAGTTACTAAGCCAATGTTCATCTTCCATAAGATTCACTTTTTGTATTAGAAAAAAAACATTAAAACAAATTGTTAAATTATTTAAATGCAATAAAAAGAGCTTAAGTACGCTGAGTTTTGTTCATTGCTTAATGTCGTACGGTTACCTGTTGTTGCTTTCATCCACACCATCAGGTATATGGTGGATAGCTGTCAATCATTACACATATCCTTATCGCTATGGTAAATAAAAATTCTATAGGAAACTTAAATGAAATAAGAAGATAATAAAATAAAATCATATAGATTCTCTGCCTATCAACACAAAAACAGGATGAAAGCATATATTTTAATATATGGTCCAATCTTCTGTCAAAAAATTTCCCTATGGTTAAAATTCCATATTTTGAGACCTATTCGTTACCGAATATTTAAAGATATCAATGATGGATAAAATATTATATAAAATAATATTGCATGATGTCTAGTCGTATGACTTCCAGGAAAAATCCAAGCGCACCATACCGTTACTGAAGATCACGGACAGCTTGGTAGGGGCTTTTCTCCAAAATTTTACTTTGCATCCAAACATTTTCAAGAATTATCCAATCTTTACTCAGTTTCTTTGTATGACTATTTCATTTGTGCACTTTTGAAGTACAAACAACATTATTTAATATTTCTGAACATGGAACCCAAATGTCTAAAGATGGTCAAAAGTATAATGTTCGAATGTTGTGAAAATGAGTAATTGTTGCAAAACAGTAGGACGTTCTAAACCAAAGCAAAAAATATATTGGAAGTAGAGCTTTCTTTGCTTTTCAGATGCAAGCAAATCAACTGCTATTGATTAAGTGTGTCTTTCAATTCTTTCAATACCAAACTTTTGCAAAAACATGCGAAATATGTGATACTGTGTCCAAACTGTTTTTACAACATTTTCAGTGCTGAATAAAAATTTGATTTTATGGATATTGTGTAAAACTATTATGAAATCTTTAATTTAATATCATGCCATTCCCTTAGGAATCGTTTTATATTTTGCTCTCTCTCTCTCTTCGATGTCATTTGCATGCATACTTTAATAAAAATTATGTTTTATGTGAAATATGTTTTATATGTACATCTTCAATGTCAGGAGGCTTGCCAGTTGTTGTTGTTACCTAATTTTTGACGTTTTTTTTTTTTTTTTGTATGTAAGGAAATCTGGTGTTGATTGCATATCTATGCACGTTTCTGATAAATTATTCACAAAGTGTTTAGACTCGGTTGAAATAGAGCTTGATACATATATATATATACATATTTGTTTAGGGGCCAGCTGAAGGACGCCTCCGGGTGCGGGAGTTTCTCGCTGCATTGAAGACCCATTGGTGGCCTTCGGTTGTTGTCTGCTCTATGGTCGAGTTGTTGTCTCTTTGACACAATCCCCATTTCCATTCTCAATTTTATGATATATGATATAATCATTTGTAAATGTTTGAGGTTAAGCTACCTATGAAACCATGATTAACTCATCATTTTCTTCGGAAAATCCTTGTACCAAGTCAGTAATATGGCACTTGTTTTTCACTTGTTTCGTTGATTGATATCATTTGATTTTGTCAGTTTTAATGGACTTTCCTTTTTTTAATTTGCCTTGGAGGTCAGTATTTTATTTATACTTTTTTGTATATTGCAGAAGAGCTAATTTTAGACCAATTTATGATATTTATCACTATGGTGTAGAAGTCTTGAGAAAGGAAAAAAAAAGTGGGCCGGAGTGCCCGGAGAAAACCGCCGACTTTTGGTAGGAAAACTGACAATTAAAGAACTCACAATATCAGTCTTGACAGGCTAGTGATACAGTAGTTCGACTACTAAGACCACTTAGCCACTGAGCCCCCACCCCAAATTAAATAGGAAGGAGCAAATTAACATCACTTTACACAACTTTGAAAGAATGGAAAAGTCATATCAGATATATTATGAATAATACCATGAGTTATTCTAATACCAAGGCTTAAAAGGAACAACAGTGACTATCAAAGTTGATCAACTTCATTTGGATATTTAGAAGAAGAAAAAGAAGTTTTTGCAGAGAATCTATCGGCTTATTATATGCAGATTCATTTTTATACGTTTTATTAGAAATATAGTTACCCCAGATTTATCTAAAGACGAGTTTATTTAAAAGGAAAATGTCTTTGAGTAAAAGTGTGGTATACTGTGTATAGCATAAGAGCTGTCAGCGGAAATATCTTCATTTTTAAAGAAGTGTAGCTTATATACGACTTCTAAACATTGTTTCACTCTCCAGAAATAGCAAATGCCATTTTTAACATACGTTTTTTATCTGATGTAAGACCACAAATCAGTATGAGCTTTTACTGATCGCAGATATAAAAAAAAAACATTTGATGAAGTACCTTGTGAATTAATGTATCCAATTATAGTCGGAACCACGTGGTATTCAGTAACAGCTTGTGTTCAGTCGTTGTTGAAGCGTGGTCATCTGCGATGTTAATTCAGTAGAAGCTGTAGTTGTAAATGTACTCGAATTATCGTTTCAGATTTACCTAGTAGTACTTACGTCTACTAACAAAAAAGTTTTTGGCTGCTTTGTTAGTAAGAACAAAGATAAAACGCTTTCCAAGATAATCGAAATACTTGAAAGGTTGTTCTGGGGACTAAAATCATTGCGACCACTTTGGATCTCATATGATTGATATAAATTTTGAGGGAGTAGTAAATCTAAGTTCAAATATCATAAATCGATTAAGGAGACAAATCAATGTAATAAACAAAAACTGAGGGAACTGCATGAACTCCTTAAGGAGCGAGACCTATCGCGTCGACAGGGTAAGAGTCTACTCCTATACATACATCATTCGCTATGTGAACATATAAAATATGCCTAAAATGAGGAAACTTTGAAAGAGAAATGTAAATGTATTTGTATGAAGTTTCATTTACAAGAAAACAAACATATTGTCATCTTTTAAAAACATTATTAACAAATGGTGAGATTTTGTTTGTTTTAATAATGATAATAATAATTATAAGAGGAGGTAACTCAGGATTCTTTACTCTACCTGTAGCTGGAAAACAAGCTCCGTAACATGTACTTTTAATTTGATAACACTACATTTTGGCAAACTTTAAAAAATAATTCTGTTTTTTTGTTTGTTCATACCTTGGGCCTAAACGTCGTTTTATTAGAGCGAATTTGTACTTCGATATGTTTATTGCGATTTTTTCAAAAAGAATCATACATTCTTTTAAAGAAAGAATACAATGATTTCTTATTAGCTTGGCCTCATGTGCACCAAAACTTGCAGTCAGGGGAAAGGTATGTCGCGGGTAATTTGCGACGTTCCTTTTAATTTATTTTAAAAAGATAAGTCAGACATTATTTCGGGCCTTCTTTAAAAATGAGTAACCTTTTAGTTTTGAAACAATGTGAAGGATTCCTGTGACAACATGACTTCAAGGACTATACCTTTTCCTTATATTTTCTGGAGCATTTGAGTCTACCCCGGGTTTTGGTTTGGTTCGTGTGACTTAATCTAGTTTTTGGTGTGTATGTTTTGTAGACTGTTGTTATAGTTTATTCAAATCTTCTTCAATTTTTCGCGGTCAAAAGAATAATGAGTTATGTTTTCAATATCAACTTCGGCAATAATAGCTAATAAAGACAATAAACATGCAATTAACTATTCATAACTCTAATTTGGAACGATGTGTTATAAATAGAACTGTTCATAAATTGATGAGCTTCTTAATATCTATGTATCAATATATGAAAAAATTAAATTAGACGGAATGTATAATAAGCTACTTTTTGATTTTCTATTTTCCCTTTGAACTCCAAATAATGGAAGAAAAATCAATAACTACACAGTCATGACATGTGAATTATTCCGGTAGGCATAGTGTCCGGCTGGGATCGTTTTTTGTTCTCGAGAGTGGCCACTTTTTTTACGAGTGAATAAGATAAAAAATGTAAACAAACAGGCTTTTTTTTTATGTAAGATGTGAAATAGATGCGTAAACTTAATATACAAGATCATAAAAGGTAAGTTTGTATTGGTGATAAAAATAAATCACCACCCCTATATATACATTATTTTGGATTCTAAATGTTTAATTTAGCTTTACAATGCTTTTATTCCAAAATATAGAATAAAGCTATTTTTATACAAGTACCAATGCAAATGTCAAAGGAAATGTATATTTGGAATCTATATATCCTTAGATATACAGACACTTTATATAAATTCTTGTTATTGCATTGAGAAGGACATATTTTGAATAAATTCATTTTTATATGTCCGTCTTTTTTCGAGAGTAGTCCGGGTTTTTTGAGTGCGGTACAGATTTTGATCGAGCGATTAAACAAAATTTCAATGGCTTAAAATGTTATTAGTCAGTGCAATTACGTTTAAAAACAATGAAAAGGTTCAAATAAAGTACTTTTCAAAGCACGAAACCAATGCATTTAACCAGTTTGATAATACTGTAGTACGTAACACGTACATTCGTAATAAGCATCGTACATTATATATAATTATTATTGTTTGCCACATCTTATAAATTGCATGGACACCGGCATTGGTATATTTGGATAGATCAAACATGTCCACGCCCATGTAAATATACTGGAACTATCCAACAAATCAACGCCCAGGTACACATGTTGTATCGATCCAAACATACGTAGATCAATGTCGAATCAACGCCCAGGTACACATGTTGTATCGATCCAAACAAACGTAGATCAATGTCGAATCAACGCCCAGGTACACATGTTGTATCGATCCAAACATACGTAGATCAACGTCGAATCAACGCCCAGGTACACATGTTGTATCGATCCAAACATACGTAGATCAGTGTCGAATCAACGCCCAGGTACACATGTTGTATCGTTCGAAACATACGTAGATCAATGTCGAATCAACGCCCAGGTACACATGTTGTATCGATCCAAACATACGTAGATCAATGTCGAATCAACGCCCAGGTACACATGTTGTATCGATCCAAACATACGTAGATCAATGTCGAATCAACGCCCAGGTACACATGTTGTATCGATCCAAACATACGTAGATCAATGTCGAATCAACGCCCAGGTACACATGTTGTATCGATCCAAACATACGTAGATCAATGTCGAATCAACGCCCAGGTACACATGTTGTATCGATCCAAACATACGTAGATCAATGTCGAATCAACGCCCAGGTACACATGTTGTATCGATCCAAACATACGTAGATCAATGTCGAATCAACGCCCAGGTACACATGTTGTTAGTTTTTAAGCCAAAGAATGCCTTCTTTCTTATTCACATTTTCTTTGAAAAACCCGGACCATTTGTTTAAAAACCCGGACGTTTTGAATGTTGCTCTATAAAAACACGGTCAATGTGAAAACACTGAATTGTTAGTGAACTACAAGGACATTGTGCGTCGTTTGTGCTCAAAACATGTTTAGTATTCAGAATAAGATGAACAGTCATGAGTAAAACTATTGTATACGCAAAATGAACCGATTCACTCGAAAAATACAAGATTTCCGCCGGATACAATACCTACCATGCTTTTTAATGGTCTGTTTCCTTCCGTGTTGTCTTTTAATAAATATATTATGTAATCTATTTCTGTATTGTCAGAACTCGCATGTCATCAACTGGTGCTGAATAATTTACATTGTTTAATAACATCTAGAATGGGAACAAATGTTAATTCGGTTTTCAGCGGAGGGATTTATGAAAGTTCTCAACAAACAGACCAAGAACATTTGTATGCTCAACTACACCGAAATACTTTTAGAAATGCCATGGAAGGATGGACATTTCGATGTATTTTGATAACAACTATTTCCGTAGTTATTATTGGATTTGCAGCGGCTGTGTACTATGGAACTAATAACTTGAGCAGTGAAAAGGTTTGCAATATGCCAGGTACTATTAAAGGTAAGTACGAACTGAAAAAAACTGTCTGTCTTTATCTGTCTATGTATCGACAAAGCAATGCTATCACTGTTTTTGTAGTGAATGTTCTAATCACTTCGAATAGATACTTAGTGTATCAATTAGTTTATAGGAAGCAATCTGAAGTGTTTTAATTTAGGAATATAAAAAAAGTCTTTACAACATTAACCATTTATATAGTTATTGTCTTGCAAACAAGATGGCAAACACATATATTACATGCAAGACAAAAAAATTGAACGAGTCCATGCTTAGGATTCTATGGTTTTAAGTTGGTTGTGACTTCTTCTGGTAGCAACACTATACATAGCTGAATACAGTGCATTTAAGGTAATTGACTACCTTGATTTCTTTCATGCGACAGTACGACTCTTACTTGTAAGAATGGGTACGTTAAATATATCATTATTATTCCCATTACTCCAATTCTTAAACTAGGGAGTACTGTTGTGCGTTTGTTTTTTCTACATTGGCTACAGGTATAAGGGGAGGGTTGAGATCTCAAAAAACATGTTTAACCCCGCCGCATTTATGCGCCTGTCCCAAGTCAGGAGCCTCTGGCCTTTGTTAATCTTGTATCATTTTTAATATTAGTTTCCTGTGTATACTTTGGAGTTTAATATGACGTCCATTATCACTGAACTAGTATACTTATTTGTTTAGGGGCCAGCTGAAGGACGCCTCCGGATGCGGGAGTTTCTCGCTGCATTGAAGACCCATTGGTAGCCTTCGGCTGTTGTCTGCTCTTTGGTCGGGTTGTTGTCTCTTTGACACGTTCCCCATTTCCATTCTCAATTTTATTGAGTGTTATTTATACACCTAATATTAAGTGTCTCTTTTCTCAGTGTGAATGGAGTAATGGGACAATCATATCTTATTTACTGCTCTAACCCTCAAAGCTATGCTCTAAGGAGTTATACGAGACATATCGATGTCATCATTTGTATAATTTATGAATTGGTCTTAGTGATGTAAGGACTTACTTTTGATTTGGGAAATTTTGATAAATTGTTTTAGACATTATATGACACAACGTTATACAATGAAATTGTATAAGTTATCTAATTGTGAGTATGAGTGTAAATTATGTAATATTTTAGTGAGAAATTATCTTTTTGTTTATTTACAGTTCAATTTAATAAATTCAAAATCAGAGTTACAACTAAATTGTATTCCACGGCCAATTTTATTCCAGCTCTTTACATTAAATACCACTTAATTAACTAAATTTTAAATGTTGAAAGAAATTGCTTTTTATAGGAAATTCAAACGTATGTAACCGATATTTCGGAAACTAAACCAGAGAAGCTGAAGAAATGATATCACAAAAAATAGAATGATATGAAGCAAAGATTAACAATACTTAATTTATTAATAAGTCTTCAATCGAATCAATCAGGAAATCCGCACATATATCATCTCAATCGAATCAATCATGAACACCGCACATATATGTGCAACAATCGAGACCGCATAACCTACCGAATTAGACTATTTACCGGGTTTGTACTAACATGAGCAACACGACGGGTGCCACATGTGGAGCAGGATCTACTTACCTCTATCAGAGCACCTGAGATCACCCCCAGTTTTTGGTGGGGTTCGTGTTGCTTAGTCTTTAGTTTTCTATGTTGTGTTTTGTGTACTTTTGTTTGTCTTTTTCTTTTTTAGCCATGGCGTTGTCAGTTTATTTTCGATTTATGAGTTTGAATGTCCCTCTGGTATCTTTCGCCCCTCTTCTATAATATCTAATGAAATATTTTTTTTAATAACGAATTTTTTATCATACAATCGCCGACAATAGGAAACCGGAAAATTTGCAAAATTATTTCTAAATTGAAACTTAACAAACATGATAGTATAAAAAAACTGATAAATTCTCATTAGCAAAAAATACAATTCCAAGGAAAAAAATAAAGATTTGTATCATGAAATCTCCGAAAACAGGAAACTGGGAAATTCGTTAAATGTCATTTTTTGTCAATAATTTTCTAAATATATACTGAATAAGGTTGAACATTTTTTTCATGATAAACAATATCTATGATATAATTCTTCGTCAAAAGCTTCCATTTTATATCGTCCAAAACTGGAAAAGTTAATAAAATGTATTCTGTCGAAACTTCTGTTGCAAAGACTTTTTAAAGGTATGGATAGAACTTAAATCTATATGTATAAATTGATTCAGTGTCTGAGAAGTAGGTAAAGGATTGTTGGTACAGAGTAAGTCGAGTTATCGGAACTGTAGAAGTTTGGCTATCATACACAGATTACAACTGTTAGATTCAGATACAAGGGGTGACATGATATCTGTAAGATAATCCTGTCGCTGATTATCAAGGTGTTTGTATATAAAAATAAAGAGATGTGGTATGATTGCCAATGAAACAACTATCCACCAGAGTCTAAAAAGACGTGGGCCTTCAACAATGAGTGAAACCCATACCGTTTAGTCGGTTATAAACGAGAAAACCAAGTCTGGATTATGAAAAAAAAACAATACTCGCAAAACAAGTATAACAGACAGCTTCAACAACTACTGAATTACAGGATCCTGACTTGGGACAGACACATAAACAATATAACGGGGTTAAACATGTTTATCAGCGCTCAACCCTCCCCCGGCCGGTGACAATGGTGTTATAGCACAGCTATAAGTACAAGCTGTAAAAACAGCTGGAAATGACTTGATTCATCAGATGGGCACGACGCTTAAAAAACATACATGAACACAAAAGACACAATTAAAGTACCGTATGAAAGTACTCGCTCGCAGTTACTGAAAGCTAGTTTAAATGCATTTACAACTAATAAAAAATGTATGTTCTTCCTGGCTTATATATCAACGGATTTAGTGTAAAGACGTCATTACCAGTCTGATACAACCATGAATTTTCTTAATTATCGACAGGATGTAGGACCATAAGGTTTCATTATCTTATAGTCAAAATAAAATCAATATTAGAACCGACAAAAACAATATTCAAAGATCTTATTATGTTGTAATATTGATCAGTTTATTTAAGGGTTCAATAGTTCACATCAATCGCAGCTATTTTATCAAAACAAGTTTGCGTTATTATCATCTTTGCAAGAGTGTCCCAACCGACTTCAGTGTATAACGAATCCTTGCTTGTGTAAATAATTAATCCAGTTACTATTGGTGCTGCCTCGAGATTTTTTCTAAACGGTCCGCATTTGTAGACCACAGTTGTTTTGTACTTCAAAAGAGTATTCTACATAATGTCATGTATATTATCTCCAAATACACATGTTCCATTTCAAACTTTTTTTTTAAACAATTCATCAGAGTCCAAAATGACATGGATGGAAGAAAGAAGTTCATCAAAACATTTAGTTGTTTTGAGGCTTTTTTTCTATTGAGGGCTCTAACGGATAAATACTTGTAACAGGTAAACAAAAAATAAAATGAGTCTGATGTGATAACTTTTCCAATTCTTCAAAATGAACATACCATAATTACGGCATTAATTCAAAGCGTTATAATGGATTATGTGAGCACCCACCTTTATTAATACTGAGTTGGTTAATCATCGAATAAGAGTTTAAATGTTAAAAAGTATTCAAGTAAATCTTCAAGTTAAAATTCTACTTCGACTTTAAATATCAAAATTAATATTCTAGTCCGATTAACATTGAATTTCTGAAAAGGACGACATCTCGAACGTTTGTTATAAACAAAAAATGTAGATTGCTTTTCCTGTTTTCTCTCTCTCTCTCTCTCTCTCTCTCTCTCTCTCTCTCTCTCTCTCTCTCTCTCTCTCTCCTTGACGTAGTCAAAAAGCAAGACTTAAGTATGCTGTTTCTGGTGGCGGCGTTTGTGATTGTGATTTGTTGGTAATTAGTTAAGTTTAAGAGGAACCTCTAATGGTAAATAAATTATATTTGGTATGCAGTTGCATAAGCATTGGGGCATCTCATTTCTATAGAGATTATTTGGTCCTGCCTCCTCAGTCATTATCTATTTGCGTTGAATTTTTTTCACAGTTTCCGTTAAAGTTTGTGACTATGTCAGTTTAAGGGGAATCACTTATGATAAGTCAATGATATTATGGTCTACCGACTTTACAACTTTAGCATAGTTGCCATGTTTAAGTTTTCGATTACATCAGTTTATTTATTTTGGCTTCCCTATCTTGAGTTTTCGGTACATTATCAGTCACGGTCTTTTCGGTACATTATCAGTCACGGTCGTACTTTTGTTTTTTACCTTTTTTTTTGACAATGGTTTTACTAATCTTCAATTCTAAAATAAATGCATTCGCAACAAATATTACAAACATTATAAATTTCGAATCACTGTCAAATGTTTGTTAATTTTCGGGTTTAACGAAACGGAGACGTTAACGGGTGCGTTAAATAACAGCGACTTTGTGAATTCGAATCAAAATAAGCGGAAAGTTAAATGAATATCAACGGATCCGTTAGTTAACGAATGCTTTGTGAATAAGCTTCCAGGTAAGTAATAGAATTTAAAAATTTTAAAAAATAAATATCAAATTCATCTGTGTAAAGCAAAAAAACAAAAAAGGGCATTTCCGTTTGAATGGTTTTAAACTAGTAATTTTTTGGGGCCCTTTATAGCTTGCTGTTCGGTGTGAGCCAATGCTCCGTGTTGAAGGCCGTACCTTGACCTATAATGGTTTACTTTTATAAATTGTAACTTGGATGGAGAGTTGTCTCATTGGCACTCATACCACATCTTCCTATATCTATGTACAGTTTATCGATTATTGTAAATTTGTTCATGCCGTAAACAAACAAAGATGTATTTAAAAAATTCATGCTTATAACAGTCATGTTTTGATGTGTTATGCCATCAATGGATCTCAGCGGTAACCTTTCCGGAGCACATGAGAACATACCCGGTTTTTAGGGGCACGTGTTATTCCGTTTTTAGCTGTCTATTTTGTTGTTTTCTGTACTGTTGTTTGTCATTTGGTCATTTTTCGTTTTTTTTAAAGTCGATATTAAGTTACACAGACGCTTTAGAAGTTGTAGTATGTCCAACTTGCTCAGCACATGACACCCTTCATACTGACTAGGAAGTAATGAACGCAGTGGTTGAAATATCGTACGAAAATAGTTTGTACAAATGGAAATTCCCAACGTATCTCTTTATACAATTTTAAATATACCCGCATAGAAGAATTGCCAGTTTTACTATCATTGTAATAGGGATATTATTATTTATCATTCTTCGTGTACAGGTATCTATTGGTTGACAGAATGGTAATATTCTACTCTAACACTTGGTTCAGCGAGTAACAATTTTTGTAATGCAACTATCTGGTATTAACCAATAAAAGACTAGCAAAACAAATATACTCAATAGTTTTATATGAACATTCAGTATGATAAATTAAATTACACAAAGCTGAGTGAATGTGTGATAGATTGTTATCCTCGGGTATGTTATTTGTATAATGGAAACAGCTTTGACCAAGTAGTTTCAATGCTAGCAATAAGCCTTGTCAAGGTAAATAAATTATGTCAGTTAGTTATGCAATTTCTGACGATCCAGATGTTTTTCACTCCAAAAATGTAATTTTTCAAAGAACAGAGCACAATTAATGTTATTATTACTTCTAAATAACAAATATGCTAACTAATCTGGTCATCATCCTCTATGTTTCTTGACCATATCCTTCTATAATCATTTTGCAGATTATCAATATGAAATGCGTATATTTGTGTGTATATAAACTCTTCCCACTTCAAATGACGTTATGACACATGAAAATGATGAATAAATAATGAGACAACCGGACATGGCCTATCACATTGTAAGTGTGACAATTCAATACCGGGATCATTCGCTATACAACGATCGAACAACACGAAAGCAAAATGCATTGTGCCAGTAAATATTTATCAGGATACGTACTATTTCTTGCTGTTCATATAGTATTTTCACAAAGTAAGTATGATGTGCTTAAAGGTTTATAGGGTCTAAATTAAAATCACTCAGATTTTTTAATTATTTGCCAAAATTTTGTTTATATTAAAAAAATATAATAAGTAGTATGGGTCATGGGGCTTTTTTCAAACTACGGGTTGTGCAAAATTGTCTGATTTTGTATAGAATATACATGAAAAACACAATTTTTTGAGATAAAAAGAAAACTAAGCCTTATACTTTTAAGATAAAATATGAGAATACACCTCTTTCAATGTGTTTTCAGAAAATAAAATAAAAAGTGGGGTCACGGGACTTTTTCTTGCTACAAAACAAAATAGGTAAATTCATAACACGTTCCTTTTAAAAAGTTACATTATCTGAGTTATCTCCCCTTGTATGGCAAAGTTGAATAAAATGAAATCAAACAAAGATATTCTGTATTTGATAAGAACAGTTGAAAAAATATGATAAAACACATAATTTTCTTCATTTACCAAACGAATTTCTTACAAAAGAATTTTATTCTTGTCTTAAAATTTGCCGATTTCATGAGAGAACTAGACCGATTGTTTTTTGCTATTTTACAATCCAAGATTGCGGAAGACACCCAATCTACTTTAAGTTTGATATGGTTAGATTTTTTCTTAAAAGTCGTGGTGTAGCTGTGTTAGTATATTCTAGTGGCGTTTGACCAATTTTTTTGAAATTTTGAAATCAGATAAGAACAATAAAAGCGCCGTAGATTTGAAGAAAAATTTTATTGATTTACCAACCATGCTAGATTACGTTCTCCTCTTTTTTAAGGGATTACTCTATTATTAGTTTTCTGCGTATTGTTTTATGGACTTGTTTGCTCGTGATTGACAAGCGGACAAATAATGATAAATATATTTTATAATCTGTACTTTGTGCTGTTATACCACGGCTTCTCTTTAGGGAAGTATTTAGTGCTTAAAACATGTCACTCTGCCTTATTCTTTATGTGCATATATCAAGCCAGGAGTATTTTATTCAGTGGGTGTCGTTGGTAGCTGTCTACCATATTTGTGCGGTAAAAGAAACTCTCGACGTTTTTTTCATTGGAAAATAATTATTATTTGAAAACTGTAAGAAGTGATATCAGATGTTCATACATGAACAAATACAATGTGATGGTGTGGTTAGGGTTGACAAATAGAGAATAATAGACTCAAACAGAAGCAAATAATTTAACATAACATATGTAACATATTTGTTTTCCTTTAAAGTGAATCCGATGAACCAAATTAATTTTCAAATAACATATGGGACCTTTTTTCTTGTTCTGAGTGAATCGGGAGATTTTAGTTCTAACATGAACAAATTAAATTTGAAACAGCAGTTACATCATTGTTTGTATGGTGTGTATTAAGTGTTCTTTAAGCATGATCAAATAATGTTTGATTAAACACGTAACATCATCGTTTTTACGGAAAGGATCAAGTGCTCTTAACAACAAACATGTTCAAATACAATTTTACACAACATTTATACAATATCTTTTTCTTCTTCTTCGGAAGGAGTAACGACTTAATTATTTAACGGTTTATAAAAATGTTATATAAGAAAGACTGCAAAAATCACCTAAATCGATTCATATTAGATCTTCACATTATATATATTTACACACATATTAACAAGTTTCCATCCAAAAAATATAATTTGACACTATATTTCATTGAAATATGTTGATAGATGTATGATCTAAATATTCATTTAGATACAACAGTTTTTTTCTCTCTTATCGTTTATGTAAAATGGTACTTTTTCCAAGTATGTAGATGACACGATAACGACATAACAAATGACATTCCTGTTTTAAATTGATCAGAGTGTTTCATCCTATCCTTTTTATCAATAAAAGTAAAATTAGTAACCTTGAAATGATTAACACAATTTGTAATTTCAAGTGATAAAAAATAACTCTCGTCATACTTCCGACTTTGACTCACGTAATAATTAGTGATTAAATCTGACCGAAAGAAAAGGTCTTTTTTTGGGGTTATAAATGATAAAAAAAAAATCCTTTTCTGGGAAAACTAACAAAACAAATTTCTTTTCGGTCAAGAAGACAAAATTACGCGAGTCAAAGTTTGAAGTATAATGAGAGTCTTAATTTCTCAATTGAAATTACAAATTGTGTTAATCATTTCAAGGTTGACAATGTTACTTTTATTGATAAAAAGGATAGGATGAAGTAAATCAAAACAATGGGAAAGGAAACTGTGTTCAATAACAAAGTCTAGTGGTTAGATGTATTGTTTCTTGTTTGTAAAACCAAGTACATATATCTTATAATCTTATTTCTTAGAATGTTGCTTACTTGATTTCTTATAATATTGATATATTAAAATTTTGTCTATGACAATAAATTATGAATTGCCAAAGACAAAATTTTAATATAACAATATTTAAAACACGATTATTGTATCGTTTTCACAGAAAAAAAAAACATAAAAATAAATGCAACATTTCCTATGCAAAAGTTAGTTTTGGTTGTTAGAAACTGAAGATTGCGTGCAATGGAATTTTTAAGTTTCCATTCTCTTATGGTAAAATATAATATACCACAGGAAGTTATGCCAAATTCATTAATACCGAATTGACTCAAACTCATCAAATTGATTTATAACATACTAAAATATTTAGTAGAATGACAAAAGTTTCATAGGAAACAATTCACGAAATCGTAATAAAGTTTTAGCACTTGGTGTGTATTCTTAGCCTAGACGACACCATCTAATGAACCATCAAGATGACCTACAAAGACTGTCGATTGTCATGTGATCCGATATAAATAAATAAAAAGACAGACACGGACGTGCAATAGTATAATAACGATTTTTCTAGGTCTGTTTGATTTCATGTCATAGATTTAATGGTACTTCTTGGTGACGCCTAACTTTGTTTCATTTTTCAATTTTTATATTCTTTTCTTGTTAATAAATGAACATGCTAAGCACATGAGCAACCCATCTCTAACTAAGGGTCAAATTAAAAGTTTCATACGGACCCAAATGAACTTTGAATTATTATCTTGCAATACAATACTATATCAGCGATGGTTTTTATCTATTTTTTACAAAATCAACCAAAACTGGCTGCTAATGGCGAATTATTACTTCAAAATTATGCTTTATAAATGTTTGAAATAATACAAATCTTACATTTAAATTTTCTTAACTGTAGCTAATGCCCTTTTAATGAAAACAAAGTTTTATGACCACTAAGGACGTTCAAAGTAAACTCTTAATACATCCTTCTTATTTCGTTTTAATCTATCTTGAAAGACTTCCGATTTATTTCAATTAAGTACGCAAGGTAATGACTAATAATATACGTCACGTGCATTGTCATCCTTGTACTCGCTATGGTCATAACTTGTACTCGCTATGGCCATAACTTGTACTCGATACGGTCATCACTTGTACTCGCTATGGTCATAACTTGTCCTCGCTATGGTCATAACTTGTACTCGCTACGGTCATAACTTGTTCTCTCTACGGCCATAAGTTGTACTCACTATGGTCGTAACTTGTAATCGCTATGGCCATACTTGTACTCACTATGGTCGTAACTTGTACTCGATATAGTCATAACTTGTACTCGCTATGGTCATAACTTGTATTTGTAGCACCCTTTAATTCACAACTTCTGAAGATATAATTAAACATTGACACATCTTATTCATTTTTCCGGATGATATCAATTGGCCTTATTTATCGTGTTTATACACCGTCCTCGATTCTAAATAATTTATTTTGTGGACTGGTCCCTTTATGAGCCCTGTTCAAAGAGAGAATAAGGGGAAATGACACCTAGTCTTAGTAAGTATACCGAAAGTGCACGAGAAAATCTATTTTTCACTTATTTGCTAATTTGATAAGCGTTTATTAAAAACAGTATTCTTATCTTTTTTCAGGCGGTTGCCCTGCAGGATTAACGACTGAACAGGAATTAATTTTGAATTACGATGGAAACTGCTATTTCTTTTCAAACACTGCCTTAAGTTATAGTCAAGCTAATAACAGCTGTGCTCAAAATAATGGATTTTTAGCTGTTATACGAGACAATGCTACTCAGATTGCACTTGCCAAGCATGCAAACCAAGTTTCAGATATCGCAGAAAGCTCTAGCTATTGGATTGGAATTAAAAGAGAAAACTCTACATTTACTTCAACTTCTTTAGGTATGTATAAGGTTCATTGCCCTAAATAATAAGAATAATGAGTATTTTTAAGGAAGAAAATATAACGAAATAAGAAAACACAGATTGCAAGGTTAATTATGATATTTCTTTTGTAAAACTGCTTCCAATAATTTGTACTAATGTAAGAGCATACACCAGAAACTTTAACAAAATAAATTAACAAAAAACTCATTTTATAACAAGAAACACCAGAAACTATAACAAATCGAATTTGCAAAATTTGACTCGCAAGCACTTGGAGCATTGGACCTTCTTTTTTATTTGAATTTTGTGTGGTATTTTTATTTTTAATAAATTCAAATTTCTTAAATATTTCATTTTTTGTTAGTTGTTTAATGTGTTCTTGCTCCTATACATACGATACATGCTGTCCCTCTTTTCTGCACGTATTAATTACTGTTATTGTAAGATCGTATAAATAGGAACAAGCAAACTCCCCGGCAGTTCCAGCTCCGATCCGCATACTACTCTGATGGAGTAAAGGAAAATAGTTCCGGAACGGAAACGATCATTGTACGGAGTTTGAGGAACAAGAACATAATTAAGTGGAAAAAAATTGAAATCAGACGTAAAGTTTGACACGATAAACGCGCTTTAAATTGACTATAGCGAAGACATACAGACAATTTGTCAAAGATAAAAGATTTCAGTTAGACATTTGTGCTGATTTTGATCCGGAGAGCGGGCTGTGCGTTCTTGCGAAGGAAGTAAGAATCTATTAGAAAAATACCTATATGGTCTAAATACTCATATGGTCCTGCCCGTTAATAACCAAATGATTATATACTCATATGGTTCGACCATTCGGACCATATGAGTATACGCAGATGGTCATGAACATACGCGTATGGTGCAAATACTCATATGGTCCGGAACATTACCGTGCCACTCATGTAGACATTCAAACATAAATAAATTGATGATATAAATATAAAGATAGGGAGATGTGGTATGATTGCCAACGAGACAACTATCTAACAATGTTCAAATTACGTGGACGTTAGCAATTATAGGTCATCGTACAGACTTCAACAATGAGCATAAATATGTTTCATCAGCTAAAGAAGGCCCCAACATGACAAAATGTAAAAACAATTCAACCTTGATTACCTTTAAGACTAAGTTTAATCAATTATAGGATCAATGAGTTTACACGGATCGTATATTTTATCTTTTGTTTAGAGGTTACCTTGCGAAAAAGAAATATACTATTATACAAAAAAAGTCATGATTATATTAGAAGTAGAATAACAAGTAAAAAGGTTGATGTGGTGGTTCTGATTTAACCTAGACCAGAATTACTTTCAGATAATCATACTTTGTAAATAAACTTAGATAAATATCTGTAATCAACAAAGTAGCTATAGCCTCCCGCACGGTATGTTACAGCTAAAACTATTACACTATACATGCTATAGGTTACAATTAATACATATAGATGTTTTTGACTATTTGTGTCTTTTGGTTGCCGTCTCGTAGACGTTTGCCCAACATCTCCTTTTTGTTCATATGACATGGACACTCAAATATGGATCCATAATGATCACACCGAGAATTGCGGTCATAAAACTTTCGAGCATGATTATCGTACTCAGATATTAACCAATCAAAATACTGGATTTGATGTTTCGAGCACACATTTTGTACTCCGAATACTGAGTAAAGTTTTATAACCGAGGACACGGGAATCCAGATCCGAAATCCGAGGAGCAATTAATGAAAAGTTTGTAACGGAGGGGGAGTAAAATCTAGATCCGATTCTCAGATTTGACTTGCCTACCGTTATAAACTTTTCATTAATTGCTCCTCGGCATTCGGATCCCTCTGTGGTTTCGGACTTGGATACCCGGTGTGATGATGTCAGTATTTTAGGATAGGTAATTTTGAATTGTTTTTATTGTAGGTAAATCGGCAGAATTCTTAAATTTTGATCAAAATTCCCTTTCAAATGCTCAAACTGGTCAAAATGGATGTGCAAGGTTGGATTTAACAGAAGATTCTCAATGGATTGCTGATAACTGTGCTAGAGTTTTCTGGGATATCGGACATATTTGTCAATATATTGGAACAAGTAAGTTTAAATAGTTCCAAAGTCTGATAATTGAAGAAATTAGTATTAAGTTAAAGTTTTAAAATTCAGGATTTAGTAATTCTTTGCAACGTCATAAAAATTGAATTCAAACGGAAAAAAATATTTTACAATCGATGGTATATGATAAGTAACTAGAATACAGTTTGTTCAAAAGAGACGCAAAAATACCAATTTAAAGGGACATTCAAACGCAGAAGTCGAAAATAAACTGACAACGCTATGCAGGCAAAAAACGAAAAAGACCAAACGACAAACAGTATTCAAAACACGACTGAGCAACACGAACCCCACCAAAAACCGGAAGTGAACTCAGATACTCCGGAAGAGTAAGCAGATCCTACTCAACATGTGAGACCCGTCCAAACTGCTAATAGTAAAACATGCAAATTGACACGTATATAAATAAAATATCTGAATTATTATATTTGTCACCGTTGAAGAATCTTATCACATAGGATGGGCCAAGGTGCGCAAAAGCTGCTCCTGCTTTCCTGTTAATAACTTGTTTTATAAAAGTTAGGATCAGTTAACTTCACGTCTTTTGTGATCGTAATGTATGCAATCTAAACACTTTATCAACGAGAAGATGGAGGATATCTATAGATTGTAAAGGAGACAACAATCTCGAGAAATAATGGTGAATACAAATAAAGAATAAGTTTTACTATTCTACGTCATGTCGTTTGTTGGAAGGTCTTGAACGATTAATTCAAGTGTTCATATCGTAGTGAAAGTTTAAGATGGCGCCGATTAAGCGATACTATGTAATTTTATATCAATAACCGTAACAGCATCCAATTAAAGATACGAACTATTTCGTGAAATTATTGTTTTTAATTAGATAAAACATCTGACACAGCCTTTTTGTCATTACTGTCAGTAGTTAAAAAACAAAACATAGAGTTATAAAACAAAAAAGTTTACAAATATACAGAATATAATCAGGCTTCCCATATCACAGTCATTGAAACAGCTAAACTGTATTTATTAGGCACCGACTATTCATCTTTTGTACGAGGGATAGAATCTTTTTTCGACTTTAATCAAACCCAAACTATTTTTACAATTTAATTCAGGAATATGAACACAAAATTTTGAAACTCAATGTTGTATTTTTATCCCATAATTTTAACGGAAACAAAGTATCTTTTTCACTTCATTTCTGAAACAAATTTTTGTCAAGAAATTAAGAATCAACAATTTACTTAAAACTCTAAAAAAAGACCTTAAAACTCTTTTACTCCAACAAGAGATAAAAGGTATCTTACCAATGTTGTAGTTAGATCTTTGAATATAGTTTACATTGGCACAAATATCGATTTTGTCATCAGCAAATTAAAACATAACTAAATTTGTATTCTTTTCAAACGGGATGTATAAAGACATATCCACGTTCATTTTTTTTCATAAAGAGGTTAACTCCTAACTATCCTACTGCCTGTCGATACATTTATTTTTGGCATTGCACAAGTCATGTCTTCTTTGACTGTCCATGACGTTAAAATACTAAATCTCAAATTCCATGAGCTTTTAAATTATTATACTGCTAGTACGGAAGTGTCGGTATTTATGCGCTCACTTATATGTTAAACAGTAGTATCAAATTAAAAAAAAATGAATTGTGTTCTTTTCTACAGATTCAGCAGCATATACGAGTAAGTATTTTTTATTATAATAATGAAAGTAATTGAGTTGAGATGATAAATAGAATAGTACATGCTTTTCATACAGATTCAGATTCAATATTTTATTAAAGTCTCACCACTTGTATAATATAATACATTCAAATACACATATAAAACATAGCGTATAACATAAAACATTCAAATACATATATAAAACATATCGTATATCAAAACTAACATTACAATATCATTAGCTTTAATACTAAAACATATACAAGCGCCATTCTATTAAGAATTATGTGAGACTATTAAATGAATAATTATATACAATATTTTACATAATTTTAAAACTATATATATTTAAGATTTTAATACATCATACGCTATATAGAAATAAGAAATTTGTTCTTTTACATAACATATTAAAGCAGGTGTTAGCAACTATTCTTCATTTCTGAATAAAAATACAAACTTTTCGTCATTAGACAAGTAATACAATTGATCGTTATGTTTTACTGCTTCACTTTACAATATATTTCGAGGGACATAATGATAATACATGTTTTTCAACTTCAATTTCATTTTTACACATAACATAAGATCTTTCTTTAATTGGTTTTTTATCATATCGTCCTGTTTCTATTTTAAGTGGCGCAACACCACATCTAAATTTTGCATTAGCACATCTAAATTTGACAGACATATTTTGTTTAAATATAACTCTGTACAATATTGTGATTAATATAGCTTATAAGTACGAAGCTTGTTACCATTACTCTGTGACAAAATTTTCGTTTGCCATTCTTCAATATATTTTTTAAATAAAATACATATAAGTTGTTAAAGAATACTCTTATGAAGCGCACTATAAAGATTAGCATACAATTCAAAATTACAATCTTTAAGTTTTTTCATGACTCTATTACACCAGTTTTTCTTATTATTTACAGCATTTTTATGTGACATTTGAACACTTTATAATTCATTCTGTCATTGTTCATGATATTACATCTTGCCCAGTGCCTAAAGACACATGTCCATTGTTTTACACTAGGTGGTCTCCATCCCATGTCCTCGTTAATAGCATCATTTGGCGTATACTTGCCAACACCCATAAAAAACCTGATAGCTCTGTTCTGGACAGCGTTTATACAAGAAAAATAACGAGTGCCCCAAATGGATGCACCATATCTTATGACTGGCAAGACCAGAGTATCAAATAATGTTGTGAAGGTACTGTGCTAGAAACTTCCATCAGAATATAAAAGTATACCAACTTTTTCACCATCAATGTCTACAGCAATATCAAGTGCGTTTATAACATCAATTAAACTATTAATGAAAATATTAAACATAACAAGCGATAATACTCATCCTTGATTTAAAACTGAATTAACGTTAAACCACTCTGTCATATTGCCATTTAATTTAATACAACATTCTACATATGAATATATTGCATTCAATGTACATACAAATTTTGTACTAATTCCTAAATCATCCAATTTAGTAAACAATATTTTTCTACTAACAGTGTCTACGCTTTTTTTTAAATCTTTAAAAGATTTGAATGTTGGCAACTTTCTCAATTTTCTAGTTTCAATAATTGAAGTTAGTGTACTTAGATTGTCAATGGTACTTCTACCTTTACGGAAGCCATTTTGCTCATCATGAATAATCTCTCTTTGTTCTAACCAATACACTAACCTATCATTCAATAAACTGCAATATAATTAATATGCACAGGGGGCAAAAATTATGCCCCTGTATGCCAAGGATCTCGTTGATCTGAAGTTGAAGACTTAGGAATTGGAGGAATAATACTTTTACCCAATGCAGAAGGAATTTTTCCATACTTGAAGCATGTTTTAAATAACTTATGCAAAATTAACATCAATGCATTATTTCTAAATAATTCTACTGACAACTGATCAATACCTGGTGACTTGCCATTTTTACTTTTAGCAACAGCATTTATTACATACATTCAATAAATATCCCTGCCTAAAACAAAGGAGAAAGAATTTTGAATTGATTAGTAAAAAGTTAGTGTATTGCATTATTAAGGAATATTGTATCGATTAATACAATAGACTGTGAGTAACAGTCTGCATTATTTTGTTTGAAATATCCATTGTAGAATGTACTGAGTGCCAAATATGCCCAAAAAAATCAATCGAATTAGATAGTAATTCTTATGTAAAATATCCTCTTTGCTCAATTTTTTAAAACGTCAAAAACGAGTGTACATCTCGTTTAAATATGCAGTTATAGAAGCGCTGCAAACATTTGTGAACATTATTATCTATCTTACGAAAAAAACTAATGTTCCCTCCATATAATTTCATGAGCCTTGCACACAGCTAATAAAATGTCTATCGATTATATGCTTAGAAAGTAATTTATTGATAAAGCCTTTTAGTCGTTTAAGGACTAGGGCAAAGATAGCTTGCTGATTCCTGACTGGAGACAGACAACGTTCATGGTTCCAATGATGTTCAAGCAAAATTAGCGTGCAACTTTTTTTTATCGATCCGGAAATGTTCTAGATTTTGTATATTATTTGCATTTTCTTAAAGTACCATTGATAGGGGAAGAGATTTATCGAATCACTATTCCATTTTTTCAGTTTTTTATTGTGAGTGCATTTTTAAATTCCAAATCTGATTATATGTGACTACTTGTCTTAAATTGTGTCTAGCTAGATTGTGTAACATAGAAAACATCTTTAATCATACGAGTGCTATAAAACTTTATTGGCTGCAAACTTCCTGTAGACTGTAGGAACATGTAAACAGTCCAAACATGTTGTATTGATCCTTTTCCCCTTCTGTAACAATAACAGAGTTCCATTTTTGCTGTTTGATATCAATTGAATACCAGCCTCTACTTAAACGTTACATTAAGGAATAGGAAATAGTACAAAACTTGTTAATCTCAATAACTTTATGCGTTTAGAAAGTTACGTTCAGTGGAGGTAACTCAATGTAAGTTTAACCTGGGACATAAAATATTGACATCTTTCACTCCAACATCCTCGCAAGTCTCGTAAAATTTCGTGGTGTCCCGTAATTTGGTCATATCATAAGGAAAAACCAACGAAATTCTAATCCCGTTAGTATAATAGTCACAGGTTTAACACCAATAATTATCATTCTTCTGTGTATAGTTCAAGTCTTGTTACTATAACGACATTATCTAAATTGTCATATACTTGTATCTACTTGATAGTAATTATTTTTTACACGTCATATTATGTTATTGTTTTATACATATGCATCATTTATACATAATTATGTATCAAATTCTTCCTTGCTATTGTCTGTCAGGTTTCCCCATATTAGTTTATAAAAAGAACGAGACGATCCTTTTGTAAAGTTTTATCATGTATACTCCATATTAGTGATAAAAAGAAGATACAATATTTTTGTAAAGGTGTAACCTGTATTCCCCATGTTAGTTTATGAAATGAACGATACAATTTTTTTCAAGGTGTATTCTGTATTCCCCATTTTAGTTTATAAAATGAACGATACAACCTTTTTGTAAAGGTGTATAATTTATTTAAAAGTTTTGTTATCTTGTAGAAGCTGGATCCGGATTCATCATTTCATTACTAGCTGTTTTCCTGATTTTACAATGATAGAAACATCTGGTAAGTGTTTAACTATACGTGTGTTGAAAGCGTAAAATTGAAAGCTATTTACCTGTTCATTGAGTAGTCTTAAAATTCGGGGTATCTGTAGGTAAGATCTTAAGTGTTTTAGGGGGTTATTTTGAAAATTTGGTTTCCATTTTTATCAAATCGTATCCTGTTTGACTGGGTACGATTTAGAACTTAAAATATTAGAGAATGTATGTATCCTGACCTTTCGATGTCTTTTAGTTACTTCATTTAACTTGTGTCTTTGGATTGTTGTCTCATAGTCATATATCCACATCTCCTTTTATCGTCATTAGAAAAACAAGAATATCAAAACCTGTATGCATCAATTTCAAACTTCAAATATATCATTTAGAAATATAGGTTTGCAGTGCAAAATATTATAATGCATGGCCTAGGAAAAACTAGAGGAGTTAAAAGATACTTTGGAAAAGATGATGCCTTAACAAGTTAACATCCATACGGATTGATTCCTAGGTACAAACAAAAACATCCTTTATATAATCAAGTACAAAGTGTTGTTACCTTTGTTTTATTTAAATTTTAAAATTGATAATTGACATAAAACCATAAATGGCTCCTATATTCTTAGACAGAATTTATTACAATAGTCGATTATAACCGTAAAACCTACAGGAAAACCAATACTGATGACTCATGTTGCTTGTGATCAGTCAATACGTACATACTTAGATGTAAATAAAATAGAATTGAGGAAGTAATAGATTGTTTCCTTCCAGTTTATATATTGGATGTTAATCATTGAATAAAAAAACTACTTTAAGAGAAACAAGGAGTTTTTATCAGTGTTGCGTACTTTATTTAAGTTTTTAAGAGTCATATACACGGTAGTACTTCAATTTGTATTAAGGTGACTCAATAAATCATGTTTGTCTACTCAAGGAGGTCATATAACCTCCTTGGTCTATTCTATAGTTAGAAATATATAATACTATGGATTACTGATTTTTGGGGGTTTTAATTTTTTTAAATTTCTTGAATCAATGTTAATAACAAATTTAAGTGTGAAACAAAATACACATTTTTAGTTTGCAGAATATTGATTTTATTAGGGAGGGTGTGGGTGGTTGAGTATTTTGGAAATAAATATCCTTTTCAGGTAAGAGCTGAAAATAAGAAAAAACTTGACTAAGACAAGATGAAAATTGATATTCTGTAACACAATATGCAGGAAACAATTGTAGACATAAATGGCCGTAGAAAAAACAAGCAGATGGTAAAAATTAGTAGTAAATCTGCAAAAACATCTCCTGCCCCCTCTCCAATAATATCAAATTGTCGTCCCCTAATCACGAAAACGTATTGTTCGTCAATCACTAAAATTAGCGCTAACGATATTCAATGAATTCACGGTCTATATTTTTATTACCAAATTATTGTTAATAGTGATGAATTTAATAATTAGGCATCACATATATCTAAAGTTGACTCGTATTTTTGTTTAAGGAAAACAAATAAAGTGGAATAAGGTCACAATTTTTCAAGACTTGGTTCTTTTCATTGAAATGTATATAATAAATAAATATTTTTTACACGTCCTTTATATATCCACCTTTTTTCCCCCTTATTCAAAAATTCAATAGTAAACAGCATTACAGGGCTCTGTCTAATTGATTTATGCATCTTTCTATTCCATTACAGGTTTCAACGATAGCATCCAAACAAACTTTATGACGTCATATTGACAGATCCGAAGGAAACATTAAATGGCAGCTTATCGACTTCGATATCAAGAACATTTATCATGTTTATATCATAGACATTTCATGGATTTCATATAATTGATATGCGTTCTGCCATTATATCATCAATCAGCATACTTTGCAGATTGTATATAGATCAATAGTACATTTTTAGTTCAAAGGATGCTATCAATTCCATGGTGCTGTTTTGTGTTAAATGTTGAATACATTGTTTCACTCTATTGTATAAATAAAACTATTTATCATTGTAAGTATTTCTGTAACGAATCTCAGTTTTAAAAATCTTTTTTTTTAAATATTTGTTATTTTAAATCAGTATTTATTTCTTCAAATTGAATGTACAGTAATATGGTCATTGATATATTTTTTATATTTTAAAATAAAACGCATATGAAATAAAAAGTATTTAAATGTGCAACTCTATGACTGTGTCCATCAAAGACCCATTATAACTATATGAATAAGTTTTGTTGACCATAATTTTTACTGTCACTGGGCTATCTATTTTTATGTAAATCGATTTAAATTCAGTTATAAATCGTTTGTCCGTAGTACCATAAACAAATGGTTTCGCAACATTATTTATCACATGTAAAAGAGAGGCGAAAAATACCAAAGGGACAAATTGACAACGCCATGGATAAAAATCGAAAACGACCAAAATACAAACAACAGTACATAAAACACAACATAGAAAACTAAAAACTGAGCAACACTAACCCTACTAAAAACCGGGGGTGATCTCAGGTGCTCTGGAAGTGTAAGCAGATCCTGTCACCCGTCGTGTTGCTCATGTAAGTACAAACCCGGTTATAAGTCTAATTCGGTAGGTCACTTTAGAGGAAAAGAGGACGAGATTGTGGTTACAACAATTAGAACATATCCGTCGTCATCTGTGAAACAGATATTCCCTATCGGTCAACCAACTCGTGATGGCGATCATAAACTTTTCGAAGGGGTGATTTTAACTTCACCACTTGTCACTCTTGGTTTAATGGCTTCCTTGTAAGCAGGAACCCTCTATCAAGGAAATGTATACAAGTTTGAAAAAACAATGTGAGGGAATCTATGTAAATGATGCATAAAACCAAGTTCAAAACCGACAACAACATGCATAATGACATAAGGCGCGTACACAACAATTAATAAAACCGTGATTGCAATTATGGATATTTAAGTGTTTCGAATATTATGAATATTAAATGTTCAGAGTCGCAGGAAATACTTGCATGAAGATTTTAAAAGTGGTTGCATTGATGTTCTGTATTAACAACAAAATCATACCATGCCTTTGTGATAACCGATCCTCTCGCTTTCCTTAGATATGCATAATTGAAATATAGACAAACATGACGTAGGGGCTGAAATAATATAAAGTGAACAAAAAGTTCCAAAGTAAATGATGTTTTTTTTTCTTATCTTTTTCAAATGCGGAAATATGGTAATCTTGAAAATAAAAAGGTATCATAAATCTACAAAAATAACATCCTTCACATCTGTCAGACATTTGCATTTTGTCTTGAATATATACATTAGGGCTTCGAACTTCTTGAAATAGTGCAAAACTAAATAAACTGCCAAAATAGCCTTATTTTGGATCATATAATTAACTTTTAAAATATGAGCAACAGCTTTACAAAAAAGAGATTTTGCTACAACATGTATTTTACAAAGATGTTAAATGAATATTTTGAAAACCTTTAAGGTCATCGGCGGATTGTAAGTAGAGGGACGGTGGGGTTAAATTCTTTTAGAATCAAATTCATAACAGCGTAGACGAGACCATTCGTTGGCGCGCTCAATTCTCCAATTGTCTGCATCAGATCAGGTAACCGTTTGTCTGTTACACCTACTTAATACGTTGTTTTTACAAGGAACATTTAAACGTACGGGGTCACCAAAGGTTTCTCAACGCCTGAAAACAATACTACAAGCGTATTGATTTACATGATTTTTACATTCTTCACCAACAATCGATAATAAAATTATTTATCATACCGCACGTTCTTTAAACATTAAAATAAAATTTCACTAGCTTCGAAAGTAGTAATGAATGTGTAAGCAATAACCTTTTTCTGATTTAAAAGCGTTTTAAAATTTTCGCTTTCTAAAATTTGTAACGGCTCTTCATATCTTTTAACTATTATCTTGTCTAAAAGTATTCTTTTTTTAGAACGAATGCATGATAACTTTAAATCGTGGTGCAATTAAAAAAAAATGAAAAAATATATTTTCGTACGGTCTTTTTCGTACAAAATGTAGGACAGTAAAAAGCAACATGTATTTGGGCCTAGCTTAATACAATATGCATTTACTATATGAAATTGTAATCTTTAAATAAATATCTAAATTAGTTCGTTTTTGATGAACATACAGGAACAATATTTTTTTAATTTCAGTGTCGTATTTCTTTTTATCCCTAATTCTAAATTGATATGAATTAGTAATTTCAACTTTTTTCCCTGAATGATTGAGGACCGCTTAAAAAAGTATGTATCCCTCCGAAACATAAATACATTTAATCAGGACGAGTAAACTATCATTCATTGGCATACTTACGTTCCCGGTAATATAATTGTTTTGATTGCAAATAAGCAATATTTATTGACTTAGAGAATTGACCAATCCATTGATTGGGTTGCAATGCATGCTGGACTACTACGTACTTTATCGAGAACACGCGTGTTTTTCAGTGACCTTCAGCTCACTTTTTCTTCTTTTATGTCTACGTTTAATAAAGCACAAGTTTTGTTCTCAGATTAAAATAACAAACGGAGAACTGATGAATTGTAACACCTGATAATTTGTGGTTTATTAAACAAACAAAACCCTGTAACAGTGTTACAACCTAAGTGTTACAATAAATCTGTTTAGTATGAGGCTTTTGGTCATTTATTCTACTACCAAGATATTATGAACACATTATTTTATTTCATGGATAGATTAAAAAAAAATGTAAGTGCAATTCTTAATTAGATTGTTGTGATTCAACTGCTGCAGTTGACAGGCAGTCGGTACATTTCCAGAGGTGGATTTAAGTGGGGGGAAGGGGAGGGTATGGAGCTTTATACATGGTAACACCCCAGTTCTATTGTTATACTTCATAGTTTCTATTTCTGAAACAAGTGTAAATTGAATAGATCTTTTGTTACGAATAATAATGGATTTTGCCCACAGTGTGTGACGAGCGGGGTTTCTGGAAACCCCTGCTTCTACATCCCGCAAACAAAGTCCATTGTTATTCGTAACAATAGAAATTGATTATTTTTTTTAAATAGCATGATCATAAGAAATTACTAATAGTGTTCACTACAAATTGTTTCAAGATATTAAAAAAACACATACATTTTAGAAAATTCCAATAGCGAAAAAAAAAATTAAGCATCTATTTTGAATACAAAATTATCCTTTAAATACTCCTTTGCTTGAAGGTATTTTTTTTATCCCAGTCATATGTCTCTATTCTAAATTCTAAAGCATTAAAAATCGGGGATTCGAACTCCCGGACCCCTCCCCCTCGGTCACCAAGTGGCCGATCAGGGGGTGGAGGTTCCGCGGGTTGGACCCGACTTTTATTTAAAAGATCAATGCAATTTGAATGGTTGGACCCCCCCCCCCCCCCCCACCCTTTTTCTCTTGAGTTGGGAACCCCGGCTGGATCAGCCCCTGATTGCCCCCAAAAAGGGAGTTCCTAAATATTAAATCTGTATCTTTGTATGTTGAGCGTGTCTGGTAGTCGGGTTTCTAATGCAGACACAACTATCCCTTAGAATGTCCGAATATGAATGGGGTTTTTTATTCCCGAGAAGAGGGGGGAGGGGGCTTTTTTTCTATAAAACCGTATTAAAGATATAAAATAAAGTTACGATTACCTTTATTAAACTGATATTGGTAAGTACTTTGGGTTATAATATTGTCTTCATCTTTAGTCTCTTCTACCAAACCCAACGCTTGCCACAAAATGTCGTCCGTCTTATACCCGTCCATATTGACAACTGAATACAAGGAGAATGATGAATTTTTTGTTTGTAAGAAGAATACATGAAACAGTCAACCTTGACCTGCTGATCCATATTAACGGGAATATGTAAAACAACTGTGACATTTGTAAAATATACTCACTTGTCAAAGTTTGAACGAAGATAACCAAAGAAAGGTTACTAGTGGGGTTTCATGTAATAAAAAAAAATCTTATAAATTCATGGTTTGATATTGTCAATAAATATGCTATCGTTTTTTTTTCATTTAATAATCAATGTTAACAAATATAGGGTTTAGAATGGGGTGTAAGTTAGTTATACACCTCGGGATACGGCGTGTCTGGATAAGAAACCCCTCCGGCCTCCGGCCGACGGGGTTTCTTATCCAGACACACCTTTCCCTCGGTGTATAACTATTACTTAATGCATAGACTTTTTTAATGTCTTTGTGCAATTGACCGACCAATCCACTGAATGAGTTACAATGCATGATGGACTACTATGTGTTTACAATTGTTTATATCTGCATGAAATACAACACAATTATTGCCGAAAAAAGAAATCATCTTTATACCTTTTCTTCATTTGTGTTTACATTTATGGTTAGGTACAAAATAAAAATCGACATGTTTTACATTCAATATATTTTTTTATAATTTAATGATATTAGCTCTGCACATTTATTGTTATTTCAAGCCAAATTGTTGGGTGAGATGATAAAAGAATGTTTAAAACAAGTTCCCTTTAAATTTTGGTGAAAGAAAGTTTAATTTTATGTATCGAAATGTGAAACAAGTGATTATTTAAATCCCCACTGAAAGGCCTCTAACAGACTGAGTGAGCGTAAACTCATCGTTATCGATAGCCGATGAAACACAAGTTAAAGGTAAATGATTCGGTATTATCAAAAATAATAAACATTACGGTTGTCCACACTATTATGGGATTACCTCTAAGTAACGTTAATACCGACGAAAAGTAGGAGGAATATTCCCATTTTACCAATGATAACTCTTGAACCCCTCTTTTAAACATTTTTGGAACCTCACCTGAGGTTTATCTTCTTCATTTCCAATTAATAAAAAAGGGATATAAATCAAATTTGACATGAAAGACTCTAGAAATTCACATTTTCGTAGAATTATCATAAGGACAGCCAAATCAATAAGTTTTATTCAAGGCTAAGTTTTGAATCATTTCAAAATGTTATGTTGTCAATAAACTCCTGATAAAAGATTACAAAAATACATAGAATCATAACTGAATATTGTGATGTATGTTGATATAACTTATCATCATACTGGATATTTTATAAGAGTAACACGATTGGTATCACGTGTGGAGCAGGATCTGCTCACCCTTCCGCAGCACTTGACACCCCGGTTGTTGGTGGGGTTTTTGTTTTTTAGTCTTTAGTTTTCTATGTTGTGTTTTGTAGAATGT